AGGAGGAGACGCTGTAAATCGTTTTCGCACAACTTTAAACTTTTAAAATCTAAAATTCTTGAAACAGTTTGCGCACCAGGTCGAGTTGACGTACTTTATTATGCTACCTCTTCGACTTAGTTTCGCCGGAAAGATCAAGGCAGCAACCAAAGAGCTTTTTTGAACCGAGGTTGTTCTCCTCGTCCGAGGGATATGGCCAAATTTTTTGTTAGAGATGGAGGCAAATGTCGGTGAAAAGCGGTTTGAGGAGAGGCGCCCTGTGTTCACCGAACTTCGGCAGGATGGCTTGGCAATTGTGGGAGAATGCGGGCATTTGACGGTTGTTGTTTTTGCAGCAGTGTGTCGTCCCCTTCTTCTGCCACGTCTGGTCTTGCGAATATTTCCACGCACTACCGTAGAAGGAATAAGAATAAAGCAACTAGTGCAGGGGTTGGCAATTGCTGCAGCGTAATGCGCCCGACGTTGACAGTCATCACAACGTCAGTGTCATGAGGGTCATGTGGCTGAGTTGTAGGGGACACTTCCTCACATTTCCAAATTCTCCTGCTTTCTAATCCAGGCTCGGAACCAGCAACGGCGGCATGCTACGGCTCGATGGGGAGTCACTCTGCAACTGACCAATCAGTGGCTTGTTTTCGTTCCAACACAGTCTTTCTCTGGCCACCATAGATACATCCGTGACGTTGATAGCATCAACTTTTCTGAGGAGATTATCAGCATGGATTGGTATTACCCTGGAACTGGAACCGTATAAGGGAATTAACTCGAATAGTTTGCATCTAACCTTAAGATCAGACATGGTTCTTTTTCATTTCTTCCAAAACGTGGTCAAGTGAGCAATTATGTGGGGGGGGGAAACGCACAGTGTAACGAAGGAAAATACAAAACAGAACTCCGATGTTCTGGGAGAGCTTTAGATGTTGCCGCTGCATATATCACATAAAAAATAATGATACTGGACTGAAACGGCGAAAATGCACAGTGTAAAGGAAGAAAAATCAATTTGTCACTTTACACCAGCAGCTCTGTTACACCACCCCATTGCTTCTAGACATCTATGAAGACCATTTAAGCAGGCCCCGGCTGCATGGTGTTTTAGCGCCTGTAGTGCATAGGACGAAAGACCTCGAGGAACGCGTTTTCACTAAAACTTTGATAGACGTCGCTGTTTCGTTTTCAAGGGACCAACTCTAATCTTTTGTGTGTGTTTGTGAACGCAATGGCCGTAATGCTTAATCTAGTGATGTGCGCTGAACGACGGGCCGAGTCATAATTTCAGGCTTGTTCTACTGCGTTCGAAAAGACGTGCTCCTCTGCGACTGCACTTTTGCCTCATCTAGATCTAATGCTTATAAGGCGGACGGCCTTGCCATCATGAGGTTGAATTGGGTTGGCTTGGTCGACGACCGATACCATGTAAAACGCGTGGATTTCAGGAGCGTCTCGGTTAGAGGAAGGCTGTCCCAATCCATGTGGTTTAAGCATTTTTGTCGTTAGATCTTTTTATTAAACCCGGTGTGCCTTTCCCACTACCTTTCTTCTCGTCTTACATCATTCACCCTCGTCACATCTGTGTAAAGCCAGGAGGATAGGAAAGTAGGATGAATATTAGTTTCAAGAACTACTTTTATTAACTGGCAATTTTCCCGTGTTTAAGCATAGGTCTTCTGTTTATGTTAAGCCATTAAAATATTTTATCAAGTAGCTGCGTCTCTGCCTCTTCATGTTTTACAAGTAATGCGAGTTAACTGTATTCATAAAACCTATTGCTGCATTACAGTGAATAACGCAATATGACGCAGTGTCTCATCTCGGATTTTGCTTGTAGCACCTTCGTATGTCCGTCATATTTTTCTTGGCGCTTTTCACTTTCGTACGTTGTTTAATTGTCATCTTCCGGTTGATCGGTGTTCTCCTCGCCTTCGCTATCATCGTCTGGGTCCCCGTCGGCTTCATCTGTCAAACTCCGGTTTGTACGAATATCATCTTTGACGTTTCCCTCCTCCTTACTATTGTTTTCGTCACTTTCCTCATTTTTGTCTTTTTCCTCATTTGCCGTTCCGTCTTCGCAGAGGTCATCAGCGCTCTGCATTTCTTCTTTAATTACATCTGGTCTGACATCGCCCTCCTTTGAACTGGCAGTGCCTTCGTTTTTCGGTGCCACGTAGGCGACGAGAACTTCAATTGCGCGATTAGCTCTCGGTGTCAGTTTTCTCTCTTTCAAAAGACCAACGTCCGTAAGCGGTCCTTCGTTTTCCGGCCAGACAGCTAGGATAAAGGTTAGACAATCGACGTCTGAGGTGGCGACTCCTTTTGGCATTCGGCACAACTGAAGTCTGACGTGTATTTTCCTCTTCCCTCGCAAGATTCCCATTTCTCGCCGGTTCGCCAACAGATTTGGACCGGTGGTCACCACGGTGAATATGATCGTTTTGTCGGAAGGGTTGGTCAGCGTGATCCATTTTGTTTTTTCTCCGCTAAACGGCTTGCGCACGATGATCGCTTTGGACGAGATAAGTACTTGATCCAATGTCTTAACGTCTTCACCGAAATCCGCTCCCAATACGCCCTGCGCGATGCCCATCTTTTACGCCTGAACGACGAACTACACAAAAATTCCAGCCAGCAACCCTAAATGATAACTTTGATTGATAGTCGGATAAAATAAATATAGTTTAATATACAATAG